ACCATAGCACATACCCTCCCCAATGTCTATCACCCAGCCACCCCATCTCTCCCACCCCCCACCACTCCAGCAACCCTCAGTTTGTTTCCTGATTTTTAAAGATTTTGTTTTTAAGTAAAACTCCAATATGGGGCTTGAACTCAGAACCCGAACTCACAGTCCTGAGATCAAGAGTCTCATGCTCTACTGATTGAGCCAGCCAGGCTCCCCTAAATATATTTTTAATATAGGTTTTGCATCCGTATTTTAAAATTCATTGAATAAATATTTGAATGCTTACTATGTCTAGAAAGCTTTGTGGTAGGTATTTGTATACTATTGTTAATAAGACAAACAGGATCTCTTATGTGATCTGAATTAATAATCTCAATTAAGTGAATGATTTTTAAAAATTACTTCCTTGTGTTTCTGGCCTTCCCAGATGAATTTCTTACACATTTAATTGAAAAGTAGTTAAAGTCCTCTTAATTGCTTCTATTAGTGAACTTTTTTTTTTAAGATTTTTATTTATTTATTGAGAGAGAGAGAATGGTAGAGAGAGAGCATGAGAGGGAGGAAGGTCAGAGGGAGAAGCAGACTCCCTGCTGAGCAGGGAGCCCGACGCAGGACTCGATCCTGGGACTCCAGGATCATGACCTGAGCCCAAGGCAGTCGCCCAACCAACTGAGCTACCCAGGCACCCAGTAGTGAGCATTTTTCCCTATTCTCATAAGTTGGCTCATTATATAGATTATATGTATTTTTTATTAATTCATTTTAAGTAAGCTCTTTGCCCTACATGGAGCTTGAACTCATGACCCTGAGATCAAGTGTTGCATGCTTTACAGACTGAGCCGGCCAGGTGCCCTAGATCATATATATATATTTTTTTATTATGTTATGTTAATCACCATACATTACATCATTAGTTTTTGATGTAGTGTTCCATGATTCATTGTTTGCATATAACACCCAGTGCTCCATGCAGAACGTGCCCTCTTTAATACCCATCACCAGGCTAACCCATCCTCCCACCTCCCTCCCCCTAGAACCCTCAGTTTGTTTTTCAGAGTCTATCGTCTCTCATGGTTCATCTCCCCCTCCGATTTGCCTACCTTCATTCTTCCCCTCCTGCTATCTTCTTCTTCTTTTTCTTTCTTTTTTTTTTTTTAACATACAATGTATTGTTTCGGAGGTACAGATCTGTGATTCAACAGTCTTGCACAGTTCACAGCGCTCACCATAGCACATACCCTCCCCAATGTCTATCACCCAGCCACCCCATCCCTCCCACCCCCACCACTCCAGCAACCCTCAGTTTGTTTCCTGAGATTAAGAATTCCTCTTATCAGTGAGGTCCCTAGATCATATTTTTAAGATGATTTCAGAGCTATTAAGAGATATTTGTTTTAATGAATTGAATTTTTTTGTGTGTGAGAGAAAGGAAGAAATGACTCTAATTTTGCTAAGTTGATTGCCTTTTCATTATTATTTATTAGCTATTTGGATTTAAAAGTAATTTATGCAGTTTGTTTGTATGTAGACATATTTTAAAGTTTACGTTCAGGTATGACTTTGTATGCCCTAACTCCATGTCAGGCCTGTGCTGATCTCTGTAGGGCCTTAGTATTTCCTCCTAGCCCTGCACCAAGGTGGATGGCTTGGAGAGCAAAGCTCAGGCTGATTTCAAGTCTCATTGGTCCCTCAGCCTGGCAGTGCACAACCACATGCACAGCCCTTTCCATCTTGTTATTTTCCATTTCTGTGACTTATTTATCAAAGTATTTCCCATACAATAGTGTTTATAAACCTACTTATGGTTTAGGTTACATTTAAAGGGAAATCCATCTTTAACTTGTATATATACATTTTTTCTTTTCAATGTACCACAAATGTTATCCATGTTTTATAATGCCAGCTTTTTTCCTTGCATTGTAGGATGCAACTTTCGGCTGCACTTAAAAAAAACCTGGAGAAAATTAACCCCAAGACTAGGTATGTTTGTTTTTTTCTTTTTTCTTTTTTTCTGAATTTGTTAAGGCTGAGGGTAAGAAGGGAGATCTGCATAATGACTTTAGGTTTCTGAATTTTTTTTAATTAGCTGTCAGTGCCAACCACCTTTATCTGGGGAATAAGAAAAGTGACACTTAACGACTGAGCCACCCAGGCGCCCCACACCTCTCATTTTAAACAGTTTAGTTTATAAACTTTTCCAGGTTTATTTTGTTAAAAGTTGACTTTCTGTTGAAGTATAAGTAAATTTCATGAAAGGAAATACATAGTAATTGATTTGTTCATTAATGATATTTATTATTTTTAATTAAGGTTAACAAATCATTTTTTAATTCCTTTTCAGTGTGCTCATGGATAACATGAAACATGTATTAAAGCTAAACAAATTAATAATGAAATCACACCAGGTAACTGCACATTGGGCTGCTTATGCATTCTCATGATTTCAGTAACTTGTTGCTGGCAACTGTATTGTGTATGATTATATAGGATTACTATATAGGTTACTGATATGACTGGAATTCTCTGTTCTTAAGTTTTCTTTTTTTCATAACTCAGTTATTTCTGACTATTGTGGCTAATTACTAAAATTTAAGCTACTGTCCTTTTTCTTTTTTGGTACGGAAATAAAGGGATTGAAAACTGGAGGTTTGGAAAACATGGGCTAATAGATAAAATTCAGTGATGTGTTAGAGGTTTGTTCTTAGGTAATGTGCCTTAATCTTTTTATTTTTAATAACAGGAATCTTGGGATTTGGAGGAAAAACTACTTGATGTTAGGAAGAAGAGATTACGTATGTAGAACAGTTTTTTTGTTTTTGTTTTTTTTTTGTAGAAAACATTTTCACTTACAGTGGAGATTGCCAGTTATCTCAATCATTGAGAAATTTCTTAATTTTCAGATTTTCTTAAAATTTTACACATGGCATTTTTAAAATTAGTATGTAAAATGTTTTTCACTTGATTCATTTCTGTTGTTTTAGAACTTTAAATCACAAAATTAATACATTCTCAGGGAGGACGCCTGGGTGGCTCAGTCAAGCGTCTGCCTTCGGCTCAGGTCATGATCCCAGGGTCCTGGGATCGAGCCCCACATCAGGCTCCCTGCTCCGCGGGAAGCCTGCTTCTCCCTCTCCCACTCCCCCTGCTTGTGTTCCCTCTCTCGCTGTGTCTCCCTCTGTCAAATAAATAAATAAAATCTTAAAAAAAATATATATATATATTCTCAGGGAGAAAAAAATCAAATGATACAGAAAAGTATGTGAAAGCCATACTTCCTTCCTGTGTGACCACAGTTAGGCATAATCATCCCAGTACTTTTTCCATGTCCATATAAACATATTTATATATACATAATTTTAAGTTATCATTTGATACATATGATTCTACAGCTTTTTAACTTAACATGAGATAGCTTTTTGCTTTGAAATTATTGAAAATTTTTTTTTAAGTAATACACATTTTCAGTAGAATTTGGAAACAAAAATATACTTAGGGAAAGTAAAATTTTATAATTTACTATGAAGAGATAATCACTCTTCAGTGCTCTTTTTTTTTTAAGATTTTTATTTATTTGAGAGATTTGAGAGCAAGAAAGCACAAGCGGGGTGAGGGGCAAAGGGAAAAGCAGGCTCTTTGCTGAGCAGGGAGCCCAATGTGGGGTTCAATCCCGGCACTCTGGGATCATGACCAGAGCCGAAGGCAGCCATCTAACTGAGCCACCCAGCTGCCCCCACCCTTTTTTTTAAATTATTTTTTATTTTTTTATTTTTTTTTTAAAGATTTTATTTTATTTGACAGAGACAGCACAAGCAGAGGGAGAGAGAGGGAGAAGCAGGCTCCCTGCTGAGCAAGGAGCCCGATGTGGGACTCGATCCCAGGACCCTGGGATCATGACCTGGGCCGAAGGCAGCCGCTTAACCGACTGAGCCACCCAGGCGTCCCCCTTTTTTTTTTTTTTTTTAAGATTTTATTTATTTTCTTTATTTGAGGGGGAGAAGGAGTGAGCATGAGCAGGGGAAGGGGCCGAGGGAGACAGAGAATCTCAAGCAGATTCCATGCTGAGTGTGGAGCCAGGCACAGGGTTTGATCTCACAACCCTGAGATCATGACCTGGGTAGAAATCAAGTCAGACCCTTAGGTGCAGGGCTTCGGTGCTTATTTCTTATCTAATAAAATTGGCCTCATTTTATTCTATGTTGTAAACTGCCTTTTTCATTTAATAATATAGGCATGATTTATTATTTTTAAATATTACACAGATTTGCCTGTTTGTAAGTAATCTCAGGGTCAGAAGTAGTTCCGCTCATCTGATCTAATCACTCTTTGGATGTTTAATGTTTTTCCATCGCATTCCAACCTGTTTTTGATCCATTTATATCAAGGAACCAAGCTCCTGGGACACACCCATTTATGTTTTCAAATAGTTTAATTCTTAGAACATTTCAGGAACTATAGGAAATGGTTGATGATGTGTTTATCCCTGGAGAAGAGAATCTCTTATTGAAAATTTATGTTGTTGATGTGTCATTTTTGTAAATAAAGGAGGAAAAGGTATTTCCTTATGTATCTTCTGCCTTCCTTTTGGCAACCCTGAGTAAGTCCTCTTTAACACTTCAAACATAAGTAGACAGCTGTCATTATCATACGTACATACCCTGAACATATTTCATGCAGGACATTGCTAAGGATAAAATTAAAATACTGGTATTTTTCACCACAAAAGTCATTTTCAGGTCAAAATGGAACTGCAACTTAAAATGATGCTTATTAAACATTTTCTCATGACTGATATAGTCAGGAACTGTTCTGCTTCACAGTTTTTCCAGATTCTTGTTTGTAGGAGTTGTTAAATATAGTATTTTTTTTAACCTAATAGAATTAAAACAAGCTTCAGAAAGTAAGCTTTTAGAAATACAGACTGAAAAGAACAAACAGAAAAATGATTTGGCCAATATGGAAAATTCAGACAAGATAAAGACCATACAACAAAACCTGCAGATGGAGATACAAATTACGACAGTTATTCAACATGTGTTTCAGGTAATATTTATATAAGGAAAGTAGGTAAAGAACTTTTTAAAAATGATTTGTTCTGTTACTTTCAGATTTGTTTTCAGTTAGGCTTTGATCCTGAAAAAATCATGAATTCAATACTAAATATTAGTCTGTTTACCTATATTTGGAATTTATATCTATTTAATGTTTAAGGCTTTGACTTTTCATTATGGTTAGATCTTAGGCATTTATAAGTGGAATGATTTTAGCTTTGTGGAGACAGGTATAATGGTGGAAAGCATTAGAACTTAAACTTGGGAGGTGGGGGAAAACATGGATGGGGTGATGGAGAATCTAGAATTACGATCTATACTATACTGCAACTTAATAGTTGCGAACCTTGAGCAAATTATTTAAGTTTTCTAAACATCAGTTTCCCTGTTTAGAAAAAGAGGTTGTAAAACATAAAGAAGATAATTCATGTTAATCTGTCTAGCATAATGTCTGGTCCAAGTAAATTTTCAATAAATGTCGGTAATTATTACCATATTACCTCTTAAATTTTATGTGTTCCTTTATTCTGGAGGGTTTTCATTTCTCTTTTGAATTATAAAATGTCTCAAACTGTTGAGGTGAAATACTTAAATTACCAGTTTTCAATTAGGAAGATATACAGTTAAAACTGCCCATTATGTGTAAAGTAAATATTTATTATTATGTGTAAAGCATATCCTTGTAGAATGTGAGTTCTTATATCTGACCGTAAGAAATTCTTCCTCGGGTCTTTTTTTAAGATTTTATTTATTCATTCATTCATTCATTCATTCATTCATTCATAGAGAACAGAAGCAGTGGGGAGGGAGAAGTAGGGGGAAAGAATCTGAAGCAGACTCCACGCTGAGCATAGAGCTGTCGTGGGTTCAATCTCATGACCCTGAGATCATGACCTGAGCCAAAACCAAGAGTTAGATGTTTAACCATCTGAGCCACCTAGGCACCCCTCTTCATCAGGTCTTAAACTTACCTTTTAGTAGCAGAGCTTTACTCTATTAGGAATAAAGAAGTCCCTTAGACTAACCTCCAGTGGAGGATTGCATCGTAAGTACAGGATCATTTTTTTTTTTTAAGATTTTTATTTATTTGATAGAGACACAGCAAGAGAGGAAACACAAGCAGGGGGAGTGGGAGAGGGAGAAACAGGCTTCCCACGGAGCAGGGAGCCTGATGCAGGGCTCGATCCCAGGACCCTGGGATCATGACCTGAGCTGAAGGCAGATGCTTAATGACTGAGCCACCCAGGAGCCCCAGTACAGGATCATTTTAATTTTCTTTGGCACATGTTCCTTCCTAGTGCTTTGAGACTTGCATTATTTTGTCTTTCTTAGCTTTTATTCATATCTTCTTAGTGTTAATTTTGATTTAATGAAATCATTGCTTTGCTAAGCGGAACATAGCTTTGGCTACATTTGGAGCTCCTGCCCCTAATGGGTTCAGTCATATTTGAATGTTTACTTCCCCCTTGCCCTTGTAAATTTAATTGGATTTATATATTATATACACCAGCCCAGTAGCAAGAATGTTCCGTGTATAGGACAAATTTTTAAATATTTTTATATATAACAATATAACACTTAAATTCTAAAATCTATTTGAACAGGATTTGAATTAGTCACTTGGTATCATTGAGCCATAGTTTTTCTTTTTAAATAAATAGGGCATGGGCTCCTGGGTGGTTCAGTCGTTAGGCGTCTGCCTTTGGCTCAGGTCATGATCCCAGGGTCCTGGGATCGAGCCCCGCATTGGGCTCCTTGCTCAGCGGGGAGTCTCCTTCTCCTTCTCCCACTCCCTCTGCTTGTGTTCCCTCTCTGCTGTGTCTCTCTCTGTCAAATAAATAAATAAAATCTTAAAAAAAATAAAAATAAATAGGGCATAACAGTTTATGCTTAAATTGTTTTTCACTGTAGAAGTGCAAAATGACTGAACCACAGCTGCAGTCTTTTTCCTTTAATCTAGAATACCATTGCAAACATCCCTAGTAGGTAAAAGCTGTCTCCAAAAAACTGATGAAGCCAAAAAAAAATTGTTGTAAACATTGTAAATAGTCCCTAGCATTATGGGGATAGAGGCTGAACCCTTACTGAAAGTGGAAATGAGGATACAAGAATGTATTTTTTCTTTTTTTAATAGATTTTATTTATTCATTTATTTGAGAGAGAGAGAGTACGTGCATAAGTAGGAGGAGGGGGCAGAGGGAGAGGGAGGGAGAATCTGAAGCAGCAAACCCTCCCCTTAGGGATTGGAGTGTGGGGGGTGCTCAATCTCAATACTGCAAGATCAGGACCTGAGCCAAAACCAAGAGATGGACTCAACTGACTCAGCCACCCAGGTACCCCAAGAATGTATTTTTTCATAGAGTAGATGCCCATACCTAGTTTGGTAAATATTTGATAAGATTAGTAAAAGAGGGGGGGCACCTGGGTGGCTCCATGGGTTAAGTGTCTACATTCGGCTCAGGTCATGCCGGGATCTAGTCTGCCCCATATAGGACTCCCTGCTCAGTGGGGAGCCTGCTTCTTCCTCTCCCTCTGTTCCTCCCCCCTGCTCGTGCTTGCTCTCTCGCTTTCTTTCTCAAATAAATAAATAAAATCTTAAAAAACAATTAGTGAAAGAGGATTTTTTAAAAATCTTGTTATATTTTTAAACGTGCTTATAACTTTAACATAAATTTTTTGTTCTTTTTTTATTACAGAACCTCATTTTAGGAAGTAAAGCCAATTGGGCAGAGGATTCTGCCTTTAAGGAAACCGTTCTACAGCTTGAGAAGAATCTCACCATGATCTAATAAGAATTCTGTTTTATTTTTTGTTTCAGTCTTTAATATGTCATTTAAATAGCAAATTTAAAGTAAAATTTTTAGTGTTTTTGGAACTAATATTGCAAAGTTTTTGTAGCTTAACACTATAACATGGAATTTGTTCTTTCAACTATGTTAATTAAAGTGACTGGCATTCTCTAAAACAATCTGACAGTCTTAGCCTTGCAAGGGCCCCGAAAGACATCTAATCTGGCTTTCCATTGAATGTGGACATTTTTTCTGCAACATTTCTGGCAGTCCCAACTCTTACTTGGAATACTTCTTTTTTTCTTTTTCTTTTCTTTTCTCATTTCTCTTTCCTCTCCCTCCCTCCCTCTCTTTCTTTCTTTCTTGTTTCAAGTTTTTATTTAAATTCCAGTTAGTTAACATACAGTGTTTCAGTAGAATTTAGTGATTCATCACTTACATATGACACCCCAGTGCTAATCACAACAAGTGTCCTCAATACCCTTCACCCATTTAACCCATCCCTCCACCCCCCATTATTTGGAATACTTTTGTGCATTTGTCAGTCAACTAAAATATTACAAAAATTAGAAAAGGGTATCGACATCTTGATTTTTTTTCAACTATCAGTTGTATTTTATTGAAATAAATCTCATTTTAGTTTTATCTCAACACATTCTTTTTTTGCCTCTTTTTTTTTTAATACAGAGATATAATTGACATAGCATTGTGTAAGTTGAAGGTATACAATGGGTTGATTTGACCACCATGGCATTAGCTCACATCTCTATCATGTCACATAATTATTTCTTTTTTGTGGTGAGAACATTTAAGATCATAGTAACTTGGAAGTATATAATACTGTTAACTATAATCACAATGCTGTGCATTCAATCTCCAAAAACTTACTCATCTTCTAACTGCATTTTTGTACTCCGTGACCAACATCTCCCCAAGTCCCCCACACCCCATCCGCATCTTTGTTTATTTTCCCATCCATCCACATCTTTAAACAGAAACCCAAATAAAGCACCTCAACCTTGAAAAACCAAAAAGATAAACACTTCCAAAATGTTAAGACTTGTGGTTATTATAGAGTAATTGTGACTTCTTTATTTTGTACTTCTATATCACATATTACTTTTATAAGTTAAAAAGTAAAAAAAGTAGGTGTTACTCTTTCTTATTAATAACTTGACCTTGCTGGGGTGCCGGTCTGGCTCAGTCGGTAGAGCATGTGACTCTTGATCTCAGGGTCGTGAGTTCAAGCCCCACATTGGGTATACATATTACTAAAAATATATAAACTTAAAAAAAAAAAGAACTTGCTATCTTTTATAGTGTCCCATCCCTTTTTAGAGAAAGCTCTAATTTGAGTTCTTTATTAGTTTGGAGCTACTAATCATTTTCATAAACAGTGTAGTGTTTTCAACATTCTTTTTCTTTTTTTAAAGATTTTATTGGTTTGAGAGAGAATGAGTGGGGGGAAGGGCAGAGGGCCAAGTGGACTCCCTGTTCAGCAGGGAGCCTGTTGAGGCTCGATCCCAGAACCCTGAGATCATAACCCAAGCTTAACTGATTGAGCCACCCAGGTGCCCCTCAACACTTTCTTTTTTTTTTTTTTTTAAGATTTTATTTATTTATTAGAGAGAGAGAATGAGAGAAAGCACGAGAGGGAAGAGGGTCAGAGGGAGAAGCAGACTCCCTGCTGATTAGGAAGCCCAATGTGGGACTCGATCCCGGGACTCCAGGATCATGACCTGAGCCGAAGGCAGTCACTCAACCAACTGAGCCACCCAGGCGCCCCCCTCAACACTTTCTTAAGAAGGACTTTAAACTTGAAAAGATACACTGTAGTGGAAAATAGCATTTGAAATCTGTTCTTTAGATCAATAATGGAAATACAGAGATTAGTCTAAATTTGAATTCTAAATACTTTTCTTTGAAATATTTACAGTCTTCATTTGTTTTGATAAATTATAATTTATGTGTAGTTTTATTCTTTTTGCCATACTGTATTCTTGGATATTGTCTATATAAATTATTATAAAACAAGTGTTATGTATATATATGTACATATATGCATATATAGACATACATATGTACATATATATATACTTTTTTTTAAGATTTATGCTAGAGAGAGAGTAGGCACGCAAGCAGGGGGAGGGGCAGAGGGAGAGAATCCGTCAAGCGGACTCCTCGCTGGGAACAGAGCACAAAGCAGGGCTCTATCCCCCCCCAACCCATGAGATCATGACTGGAGCCGAAACCAAGAGCTCGAAGTTCAACTAACCGAGCCACCCAGGCGCCCCAACAAGTTTTATTTTAATTTTAATTTTTTTATTATTTTTTTAAAAGATCTTATTTGATAGAGACACAGCGAGAGAGGGAGAACACAAGCAGGGGGAGTGGGAGAGGGAGAAGCAGGCTTCCCGCGGGGCTGGGAGCCTGATGCAGGGCTCGATCCCAGGACCCTGGGATCATGACCTGAGCTGAAGGCAGACGCTTAACGACTGAGCCACCCAGGTGCCCCAGGAGTTTCAAATTTTTTTATCAAGGTTCATGAGAATAGCCAAATAATAGTATTGAGAGTGTAGACAGAAATCACAGGACCTGAGTGGGGTCAGTAATCAAATGATCTGATGACATACCTGATGGTGACTGATAGAAACTGATTAGCAGTAGGAAAAGAAGACATGATTTGAGGGATGAGGCAAGTTGCTCCTTCCACTTTAACTACTTTTATCATCTACTTTCATCCTAGAGAGAATTAATTTATAAGCGAGCTGGATGAGAATTCTGTGGAGTATGAATATCAACACTTAGAAATAAATTCACAAGTAAAGAAAAGTCATATTTTCCTGGCTGAGATTCCCCAAAACAAAATCCATACCAATATGACCAGTAATTTGCACTGCATTTGACATTTTCTGAAATTTATTATCAGGTATTCCCAGGAGAATTCTTTGTATTTGAGGACTTGGAAAGTTTTGTTTTTTTCTTTCTTTTTCTTTCTTTCTTTCCCTCTCTCTTTCTTTCTTTCTTTCTTTTTTTAGACTTTATTTTAGAGAAAGAGACAGTGCCCGCAGGGGGTTGGGGGGAGGGACAAGCAGACTCTGCGTTGAGCCCATATGGAGCTAGATGTGGGGCTTGATCCCAGGATGCCAAGATCATGACCTGAACTGAAATCAAGAGTCCGAAGGTTAACTGACTGAGCTACCCAGGTACCCCTGGAAAGTTTATTTTTTAATAAAATCTCTAAATTATGGGACTTCTTTTTCCATAATCATTTCTTAAATATAGTCATAAAGGAAAATGAAAAACATTTATTTAGAAAAGTAACTAAGAAAGTCTATGTCTTTTAAATGACCTTAGAATGAGAATCTAGGGAATGTCTGGGTGGCTCGGTTAAGCATCTGCCTTCAGCTCAGGACTAATCCCCACATCCGGCTCCCTGCTCAGCACAGGGAGCTTCTCCCTCTCCCTCTGCCTGCTGCTCCCCCTGCTTGTGCTTTCTCTCTCTCTCTTTCTCTCTGTCAAAAAAAATAAAATCTTTTTAAGAAATAGAATGAGAATCTAATACTGTAGATATTCACATAGAAACTTGCTGTTTCTCTGTGTGTAAACGAAAAGTCTTTGTACTAGAAATCTAAGATTCTGCTGCTTTTGAGCTTTTCTTCCCTAGCTGTATTGAGATGATTGACAAATAAAATTGTAAGATATTTAAAGTGTACAACTTCATTTGGTGTACATATACATTGTGAAGAGATTCCCACACTTAAGAGTTAACACATCACCACTTTTGAGCTTTAAGAACACATTATCTGGTTTCACCAGTGGTGGCTTAAAACAATTTTTTTAATAGCCTATTTTTTAGAGCAGTTTTAGGTTCACAGAAGAATTGCAGAAAGTAAGAGTTCCCATATACTTACTGCTCCTACACATTCACAGTCTCCCCCACTAACACCATTCCTTATTAGAGTGGTATATTTGTTACGATTGAACCTATATTAATATGTCATTATTACCCAAAAGTGGTACATTCTATGGATTTTGACATGTAAAAAGACTCGTATCTACCATTATTGTATCATAATAGAATAGTTGCACTGTCCTAAAAACCATTATGCTCTGCCTATTTGTCCCTGGCAATCACTGATCTTGTTACTATCTCTATAATTTTGCCTTTTCCATAATGTCATATAGTTGGAGTCATTCAGTATGTAAGTTTTTCAAATACCATCTTTTACTCCTCCCAAAAGATGTGTTTGAGTGCCTGTGTTCCTACAACCTCCCCAGGATGTTATCCAAATTATGTATGTTGACCAGTTGGATGGGTGAAAATAGTGTTTCAGTGTAATTTAAATTTTATCAGAAGGGCCCATTTGGGGGCACAATAACATACTTCTTTTTTTGTTGTTGTTTTAAGATTTTATGTATTTATTTGACAGACACAGCCAGAGAGGGAACAGAAGCAGGGGGAGTGGGAAAGGGAGAAGCAGGCTTCCCGCGGAGCAAGGAGCCGGATGTGAGACTCGATCCCAGGACTCTGGGATCATGACCTGAGCCAAAGGCAGACGTTTAACGACTGACTGAGCCACTCAGGCGCCCTCACCATAACATATTTCTAAGCTTCCCAGATTTAGAAACCACTGATCTAGGTCATCAAATGTGTCACTCTATTTAAAACAACTTATGGCTGGCTACATTACCTACAGAATTATGTTAAGTGGCTGCAACATATCGTGTATTTAAAATTTATAACAACATAAACTAGTATTTGCCACAAAATTTAATATAATTTTTGGGGAATGATATGGAAGCATTATGCTTCAAAAAGACACTTTTGAGTTCTCATACTTGAAGCAGACAGTTTAATATCAGGATTAATGGTAGACCCTATCAAGTAATGCCAGTAAGTGAGGGAATAATAAGTAGCCTAGTGTAGACCTGGAATTGACCACTCCCTGAGCCTGCCACTACCTCCCAAGTTTTAACGAGATAGTTCGTTCTAGGAAGCCACATGACTTTGTATTAATTATTTGGTTTCAGATTAAATTTTGTTCTCTACTTAAATTAGAAACTGGCTATCTGGAGAGGAAATGGCCCTAGTTTACTCGTAGGCTGATGTGTAGAACAAACCCAACACCACAAACCTTCGCCTGCAAAACTGAACAATGGGGAGCACGTGGGGCAGTTCCTAGGCGGGAAGTGGGGCGGGGTGGGGCGGGGTCAGGTACAGAGGGTGGGTTAGCTCCGTAGTGGAGGAGGATCCGGGAATGCCCGCTCGTCCCTCCTCGGTGACGCCACAGGCAGGGCCCGCCCCCAGCTGCCCAGGATTCCTGTTATCTCTGCGCCTAGCGAGCGCCCCGGAAACTGCTGCCACATCCTGGGGTCATGATGGGCAGTAAGATGGCGTCTGCCAGCAGGGTCGTTCAGGTAAGGAAATTCGGTCGCTTTTTCGCACCGTGGGCGGTAGGGATACTGCTGATTATAGCAAAGGCGCTGGGGAGACAGGGCGGTGGCGGAGGCTGCGCGGTCACCGCGGCCTCGGGTAGCGCCAGCGACGCGGCCCGGGGGCATGTGTGAGAATTGGACCTTGAGCCCATTGGGTCGGGCAGTGAGCCGGGACTGTAGCTGAGGGTTCCAGCCAGGCTGCAGGACTGCAGTGTAGGCACAGAGCAGCTACGCGGCTCCCGGACTGTACTCCGCCAGGACCTCCGTAGCCCTCTTAGCAGTCGGCGGGCTAGGCTGCCCTGGCAATAGTCTGGCCAATCGACGTTTAGCATTGTCTGTGATGTCCCGGATCAGCCAATCGTAAGGACGGCGGTAACGGCAAGTGGAAGGAAGCGAACCTTGTATCTGACCCAGTGTCCCTTCAAGGTCTCGGGAATGGCCGGAGAACTGGCCCTGCGAGCTGCGTCCTTACCCCGGGCCTGTTCTCCCCCACCAGTCCAGGCGTCTAGTTACTGGCTGGATGGAGGGAGTTGGAGGGGGAAAAAGATATTATTTAAGTTTATCTATAATGCTTTACATTACAGATGTTGTTGGTTTCCCAAGCTTTTTTCCCCTTGAGTTTAGATTGGTAGCTAGAGGAACTTTGTTAATCCAAACATCAGTTACTAACTCCTGATAGCTTTTATGTTTGCTTCTCCATCTGTGATTAAATTAAATAGGAGAGGTAAAGTTGGTATATAAAGGGACACAACCTCCACATTTGTGGTTGTTTTACACAATCTGTGTAAAATATACTCTCAAAGTATATTACTGTATGATTTTTAACTTTGATATGAGAAGTGCATTTATTACCTTTGCACAAATACACCTCTTAAAAAGACTTCTTAAAGTTGTTTCAGTTTGAAAGATAGACCCAGCCTTCGGTCTCATTGCAAGGAATGATCCTCACTCATTCAGTGGGTAGATACTGAGCATTAACTAATTAAAGATTCTGTGAGGACAAGGAGAACCTCTAACAAAGGACTGGTATCCATAATGCATAACCATACATATCCATAATATATAGCTCAATTTAAAAACGGGCTAAAAAGTTGAAACTGCACAAAAGAAGATACACAAATGAGCAATAAGCCTGTGAAATACTTGCCGGACAATACAAATTAAAGCCAGGAAGTACTACTGCATCTACCAAAGTTACTAGAATTTTTAAAAACTGGTGGGGCATCTGGGTGGCTCAGTTGTTAAGCCTCTGCCTTCGGCTCAGGTCATGATCCCAGGGTCCTGGGATGGAGCCCCACATCGGGCTCCCTGCTCCACGGGGAGCCTGCTTCTCCCTCTCCCACTCCCCCTGCTTGTGTTCCCTCTATCGCTGTCTCTCTCAAATAAACAAATTTTTTAAAAAATCTTTAAAAAATTTTTTTAAAAACTGGCAATACAGAGAGATGACAATGTGAAGCACCTAAAACCCAGTATAATTCGTATAGCCACTTTTTAAAGTCTGTTTTGTCAGTGTCTGGTAGTTAAACATTCGTACCCTGTGACCTAACAATTTTACTCATAGGTTTATACCCAAGAGAAATAACATACATTTATCTACAAAAAGACATAAAAATGTCTGAATGCCAAGCATATATATTTGATATATTTGGGCTGATGTAAGCAGAAAAATGATAATTTATTATTTACAAAATCATTTTGACTGCATGAGACATGAGACATGAGACATGGGAAGAAGGTTTGAGATTTACCAGTGGAGTGAAGATACACTTCCGGGGAGGAGGTTGAGAGTGCTGGTTATAGAATATTGAATGGTCCCTGTGTTCTGGGCTAGATAAGAAACGAGATAAAATTAGGGTGGAACCAGTTGACTGGAAAAAGGAACAATCAAAGAAATGAAGGGTTTGGTGAAGCTTACAGTGGGAAGTAACAGAGAAGAGTTCTATACGTTAAAAGGTTGTAGTTGCGGTTAGATTTTAGGTTACTTTAGGGACAATAAAGCTCTGAACTCAGTGAATTAGAACTTTTCAGAAGTAAATACTAAAGTAGAAGGAATATAAAGGTAAATAGGCAACTCAGAAGTTTTCTTAAAGGAATAGTGCATGAAAAGAGGAAAATGAAAAAAATCACAGAATAATGAAGGAAAAGGATTCAGAGAAAGTCATAGAAGTAGATAAAAACAGGAAGCTGCAACTTTTGTATAATAAGTAGTCTGAAAAAGTAAAAGCAAATAAAACAAGTCTCAAAACCTGTAAGTTAATAAAACTTACCTGATGTAAAAGACTTAAACCTCTACCTTAGGCTTGAGAGAATTAACCAACTGTGTTTGACTAATGGGTATATTCTTTTTTTTTTTTTAAAGATTTTCTTTGTTTGACAGAGAGAGAGAGAGAACAAGTAGGCAAAGAGGCAGACAGAGGGAGAGGGAGAAGCAGGCTCCCTGCTGAGCAGGGAGCCCAATGCGGGACTCGATCCCAGGACCCTGGGATCATGACCTGAGCTGAAGGCAGCCGCTTAACCGGCTGAGCGACCCAGGCGCCCGACTAATGGGTATATTCTAGGAGAATCTTGAAAAAAATTTTTTTAAGATTTATTTATTTATTTGAGAGAGAGAGAGAGCATGCATACGTGCAAGTGCTCACATGGGGAGGAGGGGGCAAGAGAGAGTGGGAGACAAGCAGACTCACCACCGAGCGGAGAGCCTGATGCACACAGGGCTGGATCCCAGGACCCTGAGGTCACGACTTGAGCCGAAACCAAGAGTCGGATGCCCAACTGACTAAGCCACCCAGGAGCCCCTAGAATCTTTAGATTTTTAAAGGAGAAAAAGAAAAAATTTGGGTGATCCAGGCTACAAGACCAAGCACTTAACAGAGGGCAAAAGTTAAAGTTTTCAACAATAATAGTTCATAAAGGAGGACATGTGGATAACATATTTAAGGTAGTTAAAGATGGAAAATGTGAACCAGAGATATATCTAGCGACATTGACCTTCAAGTTGTAAAGGCCACAAATCCTTCTACATCTTCAATAACTCAGGGAATATTGTTCCCTAGAGCCCTTCCTACTAGATCTCCCAGAGAATGAAAGACAATTAAGGAATATTTAGTTGTACTTGGAGTTGTTTAAACATAGGAAACGGATATGAATGTTGAATGTATGTGGCTCTAAGAACTAAGACTAAATAATGGAGATATGGGTGAAAGACTTGTTGGTAATACTATTGTTTGACAGTATAGCTCTAATTCAACTTTTAAAATGGAGGAATAAGGGGGAAGAATATACAAAAGGTAGAATACACTTGCTACTGCCCCTGGTTATTAACTGGTAGTAAAAGATGGGAAAGAAAGCAGAGAAGAGATCCTGATCATCTGCTTTCATTCTTTCTCATAATAATAAACCAATGGGTAGTATCTCAGAAATTATCCATTAAGGGAATTATGTAAAGGTAGTAATGTAAATATAAATACACAGAAGTACAATTTACAAATCTTTCCAAATTAAAAAAAAATCACACAAATGAAAGCAAAGAAAAAGGTAATATGACAAAGGAATTTATTGTTAAATAATCATAAAATGATGTGACAAAATATACCAAACTTGTGAATTATATCTGTACATGTAAATGGTCTAAATCCCCTTTAGAAAATTATTCTCAAATTGGCTGACAAATGCCTATCCAATGCTATGCTATATATGAGGCATAGCTAAAACTAAGACTTAGAAAGGGAAAATGAAAAATTAAAAGCTATTTAACTGAACTGTGACAAAGGAGCAAACACAATAGATGGAGAAAAGATAGTTATTTTTTTTTAAGATTTTATTTATTTATTTGAGAGAGAGAGAATGAGAGATGGAGAGCACGAGAGGGAAGAGGGTCAGAAGGAGAAGCAGACTCCCTGCTGAGCAGGGAGCCCGATGTGGGACTCGATCCCGGGACTCCAGGATCATGACCTGAGCCAAAGGCAGTCGCTTAACCAACTGAGCCGCCCAGGCACCCAAGATAGTCTTCAATAAATGTTGTGGAACAACTGGATATCCACTTGGAAAAAAATGAATCTAGACATAGACCTTATACCCTCCACAAAATTGTCTCAAAATGGATCATAGAATTGTATGTAAAAGGCAAAACTAGAAAACTAGAAAATAACATAAGAAAAAATGTATATGATATTGGGTTTGGCTGTGACTTTTTATTATTTATTTATTTATCCCCCCCCCCGCAAAGATTTTATTTATTTATTTTGACAGAGAGTGCGAGCACACGTGCCCAAGCATGGATGAGCACAAGCAGGGGGAGGGGCAGAGGCAGAGGGAGAAGCAGGTTCCCCACTGAGCAGGGAGCCCAATTCGGGACTGGATCCCGGGACCTTGGGATCCTGACCTGAGCTGAAGGGAGACGCCCAACCAACTGAGCCACCCAGGCGTCCCTGGCTGTGACTTTTTAGATACAACACCAAAGACATGATATGTGAAAGAAATAATTGATAAGCTGGATGTTATTCAAGTTAAAATCTTCTTGTCTGCAAAAGACAGTTAAAGATGGCAAGCCACAGACTGGGAGAAAATATATGCGAAAAACATTTAATAAAGGACCATTATCCAAATTATACAAAGAACTCTTAAAACTTAATAAGAAAACAACCTGATTTAAAAATGGGCAGGGTGCCTGGGTGCCTCATTCCGTTAAGTGTCTGGCTCTTGATCTCAGCTCAGGTCTTGATAGGGTCCTGAGTTTGAGTTTGAGTCCTACGCTGGGCTGTGGAGCCTACTTAAAGACAACAACAACAACAAAATGCCTAGAAGACCTGAATAGACTCCTCATCAAGGAAGACAGATCACACACAGGCATATGAAAAGATGCTCACCATCATATGTCATCATGGATTTGCAAATTAAGACAACAATGAAATATCACTTCATACCTATTAGAGTGGCCAAAATCCAGAAGAACATTGATACCACCAAATTCTGGCAAAGATGTGGAGCATTAGGCACTCTCATTCACTCCTGGTGAGAATGCAATATGGTACAGCCTTCCAAACTGGAAGGCAGTTTGGCAGTTTCTTTAAAAACTTGGTATACTTTATGATCAAACAATTGCACTTTGCTGTTTACCCAATGAGTTGAAAACTTACATCTACATAGAAACCTGCACATGGATATTTATAGCAGCTTTATTCATAATTGTAAAAATTTGGAAGCAACCAAGATATCTTTTAGTAGTAGGTAAATAGATAACATAAACTGTGGTACATCCAGACAATGGACTATTATCCAACACTAAAAAGAAATTTGCTATCAAGCCATGAAAAGACATGGAGGAAACTTACATGCATGTTACTAAGTGAAAGAAACCAAACTGAAAAGACTACTTACTGAATGATGCCAAATACGTGACATTCTGGAAAAGACAAAACTATGGAGACAGTAAAAAGATCAGTGGTTGTCAGGGGTTTGTTGGGGAGGAAGTGATAAATTGCATATGGATCTGATATTTTAATGTAAAAAATGAAGCCAAAATTGCAAAGAATTATACATGCACAAATGAGTGCATATAAAACTGATAAAATCTAAATAAGCTATATGGACTGTACCAATGTCAGTTTCCTGGTTTTGTTACTGTGCTGTAGTTATGTAAGATATTACTGTAGTCGGAAACTGAATGAAGGTACCTGGAATTTCCCTGTACATTTTTTGCAACTTCCTATGACTCCATAATTATTTCAAAATTGAAAATTAAAAGAAACAAAACCATGCAATACCAAATGAAAACAAGACTTTATAACCTGGGAACAGTGAAAACTTTCCCAGCTATGCTTTAAAATCAAGATACAGTAAGGGGAAAAAACTGACAATTTGGGCTGTACTAGAAAGAAAAAAAACACCTTTACTCATTCAAAAAATTAAAAAGCATTCGACAAAAAAAGACTAGGTAAAAAATTTGCAACAGAAAAAGGGTTAATAACCATACTATATAAAGAATTTGTAAGCACAGAAAAATAGGCAAGAGCTGTGAACATACTCTTCACAGGTGAAGAAATGAAAATGGCTCTTAACCATATGAAAAACTGGACAGCCTCATAATAAGTCAAAATTACAACTACATGGAGATAACATTTTTCCTCACTTAGAGTTTATTAAAAATGTGCAAGTTAGATAACATAAGTCTGTTGGGAAGGCTGTGTGTACGCAGGCACTTACTGGTCGCTCTAGGAACCAATATGGGAATGTAAAACAGTAGAACCTCTGTGAAAGAAAATCTAGCAGTATCTCGCAAAATTAGATTTTTATCTTTTGACCCAGCAATCTCTTTCCTAGGAATCTATCCCACAGATATACTGGCACAGATAAGAATAGTATGAGGATATTTACTGTATGCATTATTTGTAATAAGGACTGGAAACAACCCAAATATCCATTAATGAGACAGGCTGAATAAACTCAAGGCATTTATCATGAATTTATACTGACCCCTTAGATTCCAATCTGTACACCCCAGCATTCTTCCTTCTCTTCCCCCAAAGTCCCACACTTGTATTTTCTTTCTCCCACAGGCAAATCCCTGGCTCCCCCAAACATCAGTATAAACGTAGGTACTCATTGGCTCAGTCCTGCAGTAGATAGAAAATGGTTTCAGAATTGCTGTATTTATACAACTAACCAACACCAAACTAAGAAGTTCAAAATTTCTTTGTATTTATTATTATTACCATTGCCTTTAGACTGAAGTATAGTCTAAGCACTATGAAAGTTATTTGGATTAGCTCTTTTTTATTCTCTTAGTTATGTTACCCAACTAATAGACAGTTAGAGTTGCTTCGTGTTTACATTTAGAGTTTAAAAATCAAATTTTGAGTGAGGAAAATTTGAGCATAAGCTAAGTATTAGATGATATTAAAGAATTTTAACTTGTGGTAAAACGTATTGGGGTTGTGATTTCACAAAAATCCATTTTCTGTTAGTGATACATATGGAAGGTATTAACAGGTAAGAGGAGATGGTTGAGATTTGTTTAATGGGGGAACGGGTGATGAAATAAGATTATATTACTGTTGAAATTGTATAATGTGTTTGTCAGGATTTATTTTATTTTTTGTTTATTAGGGTTAATTATAGTACTTTCTCTACTCATGTATTTAGAAAAATTTCTTTTAAGGGGATACCAGGGTCACCTGGGTGGCTCAGTCAGTTAAGCATCTGATTTTAGCTCAGGTCATGATCTCAGGGTCCTGGATCAAGCCCTGCATTGGGCTCCCTGTTCAGCAGGGAGTCTGCTTGTCTGTTTCCCTCTGCCCCTCCCCCTGCTCATTCTCTCTCTCTCTCTCTCTCTCTCCTTCTCTCAAATAAATAAATAAAATCTTTTAAAAGGGGGTGGACACGAAACTGAAATTTAATCTATAAGGGCATATTACATCATATTTTTAAGTATGCAAAAGTAATGCTGAAATGGATTCTGTGTACGTACAGTTGTGTAAGTGTGTGTATATATACATAGTCCTAACTTACAAATGGTCTCTATTCACTCACTTTGCAAATGTTTCCTCAGCATTTACTATGTACCAGGCACTACTGCAGAAATGCTAATTTCTCTGACTCTGCCTTTTCAGGAGCTTAGCTGTCCTGTAATCATTGGCTCATTGATCTGTCCTCTGCGTAATATTCTTAACATGTTCAGGATGCCGTGGAAACACAAAGGAGGAGTTTTAAAATCCCACTTTGAAATCAGGAAAGCTTTTTAGAGGGGAGTGATACTTGATTGTTTTAAAAGACAAACAGATGAGGGGCACCTGGGTGGCTCAGTTTGTTAGGTGTCTGCCTTCAGCTCAGGTCATGATACCAGGGTCTTTGGATCGAGCCCTGCTTCGGGTGTCCTGCTCAGCGAGGAGTCTGCTTCTCCCTCTGCCCCTTTCCTTGTTCGTGCTCTCTCTCTTGCCCCCCTTTGCTCTCTCTCAAATAAATAAAATCTTAAAAACAAAACAAAACCAGATGAAAGCATGAGGCATGGAAGTGGGGCGGGACTGAGGATAGATTTCCTGGCAGAGAACACAAGCTGTAGATTGAATGGCATGATGAATAGGGAACAGAAAAGTACTTCAGAATACCTGGAATAAAAAAATGAAAAAAAAAAAAAAGAATACCTGGAATAAAAGGTCTATAAGACAGTGATGGGGAATGAGGCTTGAGAGGTAAGGAAATGCCAGATCAGAATGGGCCTTGTGAAGGACGAACGTGGAGTTTAAAGTTTATCTTGAAAGCTGTTGAACATTTTAAAAACTTTCAAACGGGGTATTGAGAGTGGATGGCTAGAAGAACGTTCTTTCAAGAAGCTTGGCTATGAAAAGGGAAAAGAGTCACTAGAGGGAGAATTCGTTTTTTAAAAATTTTTATTTAAGTATAGTTGATACACAATGTTACATTAGAGTTTTGTTGGTTTTTTTTTTAAGATTTTTTATTTATTTATTCATGAGGACAGAGAGCACACAAGCAGAGGGAGTGGCAGGCAGAGGGAGAGGCAGGCTCGCCCAGCAGGGAGCCCAATGCGGGACTTGATCGCAGGACCCTGAGATCATGACCTGAGCCTAAGGCCGACTGAGCCACCCAGGCGCCCTAGAGTTTTGTTTTTTACCATGAAAGACTTCTGTGTGCCCTTATGCTGAGGGAGACAACTATATTCCAGCATTTTCTCACAGCAGCACAATTATGGTGGTGGTTTCAGACGAGTCCCAACAAGCCTATTTACTTCTGTAGTCATATAAAATATATAATATATAGTACATATATACAGATATTTTGCAGATAAACGCACATCTCAATATCATTAGTTGCAGAGCAACTTAGAGATTAGATGCAAATACTACTGTTCATTAGAGTCTTAGCATTGTGTATTCAGATAATTTCATATTGAAAGGTCCATTTAAGTTCCTCTATAGCATTATCTGGAATTTTAGGGATAAAACATTAATACTCTGCAAATACCTGTTATAAAAACAATATTCTAAAAATATATATTTCTGTGGGTATAGCCCTCAGACCAAATGTGCTAACAAGTGTTTAAGTCTGTTTTATGGGGGTTTGAGGATTATAGATAGTTATTTTCTTATTTGTGCTTTTTTCCATTTCTCCCAAATTTTTTACACAGAACATGTGTTACTTTTGTAGTCAGAAAAAGTATTTTCCTTTAAAAATTTGTCAGAGAGAGCCCACACAAGCAGAGGGAGCGGGGGGCATAGGGAGAAGCAGGCTCCCCGCTGATGGGGAACTCAGTCTCTCACCCTGGGACCATGACCTCAGCTGAAGGCAGACAGTTAACCAACTGAGCCTCGAAAAGTATTTTCTTAATGACCTAATTTTCAGTATGCTTCTTACGCAGTTTTACACTGCTAGATATTGACATAGTAGGAAAACAATAATACAAGTCAAGAAACTTTGAATTCTTACCAGGCAGCAGGGCAGTATATATCATGCAACATAAAATCTGTGTCATCTTTTTCATAGGGTTGTTTCTGAGGTCAGTTGGTAGTATAGTAAAATGTCTTATAATGTGCAAAGTCCAAAGTTACTATGAAGAACAGATAAGATAAACAAATTAATAGTTCATAGACCAGCTTTCCTGGTTGGGGAAGAGTAAAATAGGAAGATTTAAAGTTGCTGTCAAATACTAAGTTAGTTTATTTTAACAAAAGTATCTATGAAGCCCAGTAGGTTGTTTCTTTTATAGTTAATGAGTTTATTTTAGTGCTTCATCTTTTTTTCCCCATGTATTTTATTTTTCTTTTAGGTAGTCAAGCCACATACTCCATTAATAAGGTTCCCTGACAGAAGAGACAATCCTAAACCTAACGGTAAGTTGTACTTCAGATTTTTATTTTTATTTTTACTTATTTATTTATTTTAAAGATTTTATTTATTTATTTACAGAGAGAGACACAACGAGAGAGGGAACACAAGCAGGGGGAGAGGGAGAGGGAGAAGCAGGCTTCCCGCCGAGCAGGGAGCCCGATGCTGGGCTTGATCCCAGGACACGGGGATCATGACCTGAGCTGAAGGCAGACGCTTAACAACTGAGCCACCCAGGCGCCCCTGTACTTCAGATTTTTAAAAAAATATATGTACAGGCATATTTGTATATGAATATTCTATTATAGGCATTATTTCTCATTTTAAAATCAGCGAGACCATTGTAGCTTAGATCACAATGGTCTGCTAGGTTTCATGCAAGTAGAAATTAACTTATTACCTCCATTTAAAAAGGTAGTGACTCAACAGTTATCGTTTTAATGAAAACGATTTTATATAGGGAAATTTTTGTTCTTTCCTTTCTTCTGTCCAATGCTTACATTGGAGAGATTGTGAGGAACAGTAGCCATTCCTATATTTTTCTCCCAGCTGATCTTCTTTTCTTTCACTCATTTATTCATTCACTCAATAGGTAAAGACTGCCTTAGCCCTGAGCAATTATTTCCTATAAAGTAACTGAAGATTCTGAACAAGTCCTGTTTTCCTTTTGCCCCTCCTTTTTACCCGATCCTTTGTCCCTGTTTTTTTTAATTCCAGTATAGTTAACTTACAGTGTCCAATATAGTGATTCTATACATTACTCAGTGATCATTATGATTGTCCCTGTCTTTATTATATTTGATCTTTTTTTTTTTAAAGATTTATTTGAGACACAGAGATAGAGAAGAGAAAGCATGAGCAGGGAGAGAGGCAGAAGGAGAGGGAGAAGCAGGCTGCCTGCTGAGCCAGGAACCCGATGTGGGGCTCGATCCCAGGACCCTGGGATCATGACCTGAGCCGAAGGCAGACGCTTAACCATCTGAGCCACCCAGGCGCCTATATTTGATCTTTAATTCAGGGAGTAGTTTATCAAATTTTATAGGGATATATATATATATATATCCTTTTTTTTTTAAGATTTTATTTATTTATTTGACAGAGAGAGCACAAACAGGGAGCGGGAGAGAGGGAGAAGCATGCTTCGTGCTGAGCAAGGGTGCCCAATTCAGGGCTTCATCCCAGGACCTTGGGATCATGACCTGAGCCAAAGGCAATCGCTTAACTGACTGAGCCAGCCAGGTGCCCCTTATAGGGATATTTCTAACTGTAAATGCGACACAAAACTTAAGTCAGGTAGATTATCTGTATGGGTTGAACTCCACTACCTAGAAATTTTATTATTTTACAGACTTGTTTGATTGAGTAATTCATCCACTTAAAGCTACCTCCTTTTTTTTTTTTTAATATTTCAGTTATTTATTTGAGAGAGACAAAGAGAGAGAGAGCACAAGCGGGGAGGAGAGGCAGAAGCAGGCTTCCTGCTGAGCAGGGAGCCCAATGCGGGACTCCATCCCAGGACGCTGGGATCATGACCTGAGGCAAAGACACGCTCAACTGACTGAGCCATCCAGGCGCCCCAGCTACCTCCTTATTTATTTATGTATTTATGTATTTATGTATTTATTTTTTTTAAAGATTTATTTATTTTGAGAGAGTGAGAATGAGAGAGAGAGTACATGAGAGGGGGGAGGGTTAGAGGGAGAAGCAGGCTCCCTGCTAAGCAGGGAGCCTGATGCGGGACTCAATCCGGGGCTCTAGGATCATGACCTGAGCCGAAGGCAGTCGCCCAACCGACTGAGCCACCCAGGCGCCCCCAGCTACCTCCTTATTTAAAAAGAACTTTATGAAATTAAATATAGGTACTCAACTAAGTTACTCAGTAATACCTCTCAGAATTACGCTTAGCATTTGAAGAATGACTTGCTTACTCAATAATAGACTCAAAATAGTATTTTAAGACACCTGAACAATTTATTTCTCTAATTGCCTTTTTTTTTTCAGTATCAGAAGTTTTGAGATCAGCAGGACTACCGTCTCACTCTTCTTCAATTTCACAGCATTCTAAGGGAAGTAAATCCCCAGATTTGCTGGTGCATCAGGGTCCACCAGACACTGCAGAAATAATAAAAACATTACCTCAGAAATACAGAAGGAAACTTGTATCTCAAGAAGAAATTGAATTTATCCAAGTATGTCATTGCTCTTTATCTTAGTACTGTGCAAAACACATGAACATTTTTGGCTTTTGGAATTTCATAGGCTGATTTACTTGCTCTTTCCATCACCTTGTCATGATGGGTCAGTAGCTAACACCAAAATAGTCGGGTAGACCAGGAATATGAGAAATAAACCATGTACAAGCCCTCAGTAAAAGTACATGAAGGAATATATGTGTGGACGTAGAATATGGGAAGTAGCAATAGCTATAACCACATGAAAAAAGCTCGGTAGAATCCTTGGTAATTTTTCAGTGTGAAGGGCTGCTGAGACCATGAAATTTGAGGACCACCAATCAGAGTGGACCTTGAGTCCTTTCCAGATCAGAAATTGTTCATAACCTTGGTAGGAGTGCCTAAGAGGAATGAAAAACCGAAACTTTTTTTTTTTAAACACCTAAAGATCATTTGCTTAAAATAGTGTAAATTCATATAGTGGCCATGAAAACATTTCTTCTGTAAATTTAACACCCAATCTTTTTGCTTTGTTTTTTCCTTTTCAGCGTGGAGGTCCAGAATAATCACTGACAGTGTGGCTGCTGTTTGTCATCAGACAGAAGACTAGTCTTTACAATAAAGGACTTCCAAAATGGCACATGAGAAATTATACAGTAAATAACTTGAGTAAATACTCTGCAAAAAAAAAAAAAAGAAATCTAGAAAATTTAGATGGACAGTTGTATCTCTTAATATATGTATCTTGGTCAGCTTCTCCACAAGCTTACCTAATTGTTTATATGCTTATTAAAGTATACATTTTTAAATGTTAGCCTATTAATTTACTCTTGATTATCAAGTATTACCAGTGTTGAGCTACTAAAAGCACACAATATCTAGTAAACTATCACAGGTTTCCCATGGTTTCCCTTTTGTTTCAGTTTCTTTTTAGACATGGAAAGATTTATTAGAATTACTGCTTTTGGGAAGTGATTTTCCTGAAATTGGATGAGGGTCAGTGAAAGAATGACTCCATTATTTGTTCTTAATTTTCTTCCCCTTTTTTTCATTCACAAAGTTACTGGAGTATAACTAGTTTAAAAAGTGTATCCTACACTAAATGATAAAAATATAGTCAAGGTAAAACAGGTGACTTTGTGGTATTAAAACTGGGAGTTAATACAAAAGATTATTTGTAACCTGTATTCAGAAGAAAATACCAGAATTTAAAATGGAAAATAAGAGATCAAAATGAATATAACCTAGAAATAGGTGTTTGATTAGAAATTGCAACTTAATATGTTATTAGGGGTGTTGAGAAAGTCTTATTCTTTATTTTACTGTTTTAATTGTCATCATCTGTGCAAATTCTGGAAACCACTAACTTTCTCACACTTAATGTCTGAAAGTGTCATAAAATCAACCTAAATATTTACCTTACTAAGGCAATTTATGAAACTTTAATAGGGTCTTACAGTGCCAAGGGTATGTATTATTGTGAAAGTAAAGCCTCACAAAGCTAAATAAATTTTCTTCCATACCTTGAATGATTTCTAGAATATACTTCAAAGAAGTCATCCCTAATAGTAAGGGTAGCTTATGGGCATTAGAGTCGAGGGGCGCCTGGGTGGCTCAGTCAGTCGAGCGTCTGCCTTTGGTTTGGGTCGTGATCCCAGGGTCCTGGGATCGAGCCCCGTGTTGGGCTCCCTGCTCAGTGGGGAGCCTGCTTCTCCCTCTCCTCCCCGCTCACTCTTGATCTCTTACTATCTCTCTCTGAAATAAATAAATTTAAAATCTTTAAAAAAAAACAGTTGAATTGTTGTTGAGTATTGCTCATTTGCCTGTGAACTAAGCTTTGCTTTTTTTTTTTTTTTTTTTTTTTTTTTCTTTTCCATAGTTGATCTGCTTCTCTTGTAAATTCTCTGTTGTGGCCTAGTATAAATGTTGCCCAAGTCGAATATGAGACAGGTGTTTGGTACTAGCAATAAGCTGTTCTGGTGACTCAGAAAAACAATGTGATTCATGATTTTTCTGTTATCATTTTTAAAACTTAATTGGAAAATATAAAAGTTAGCACTATTCTCTTTTTTCTCCCTAATTTTTTCATTTCAGTAAAAGAAAGCCAATATTTTTGCTTTCCGAAACAGAGTGGTTTCAGGCAATGAAGAGTGACTTCTGTGTTACCATGGGCCAGCAGTCAGAAGCCCCAATACTAGAACCGTCTGAAGGCCATCTTTACTACAGCTCCTACCATGAATGTCACAATGAAAAAAATGACCACTTTTACAGAATTAGCATAAGTAGGGCAAAAAGGCATGTTCAGTGGGAATTGGTGTCGTAGGATGAGCTCCCAAAGAGATGGTATAGGAGGAATTCTGGCCTAGCTTTAAATAAATAGGCTGTATTTTCATTTAGGAGATAAGCACTTAAATATATGTATAATCATCCACCAAGTGCTGAATTTGTTCAAGCTTCTGTTTTCCTCCCTAATACTGTACAATATGTTAGGATCCATTAGTGAATTGTGTATTACTTTTTTTTTAATTTTTTTTTTAAAGATTTTATTTATTTATTCATGAGAGACAGAGAGTGAGAGAGGAGCAGAGGGAGAAGCAGGCTCCCACAGAGCAGGGAGCCCGACGTGGGACTGGATCCCAGGACCCTGGGATCATGACCTGAGCTGAAGTCATGACCTGAGCCGAAGTCAGACGCTTAACCATCTGAGCCACCCAGGTGCCCTTTTTTTAAAATTTTTATTTATTTGTCAGAGGGAGAAGCAGCAGGCTCTCTGCGGAGCGGGAGCCCAATGGCGGGACTCGATCCCAGGACCCTGGGATCATGACCTGAGCCGAAGGTAGATGCTTAACCAACTGAGCCACCCAGGTGTCCCTATTGTGTATTACTTTGTAACAAATCAAAACTTAATGACTGAAAGCCCAAAATGTGGCTAAAAACAATAATCACTTAATAGCTCATTGTTTCTCTGGGTCTGGAATTCTGGAGCAGTTCGGCTGTGCAGTTCTGCTCCCGGTCTTTCAGGAGGTTGTAATCAGATGCCAGCTGAGGCTGCAGTTATTGAAGGCTTGACTGGAGCTATATGATCTACCTCCAGGGTGGCTTGCTTATGTGACTGGCAAGTTGATGCTGGCTGTTGGCAGGAGGCCCCTGGTGCTCCTCACAGGCCTCTTCACATGGCTACGTGATTGAATTGTTGACATGATGGCTGACTTCCCTCAGAGCAAATGATCTAAGCATGCAAAGCGGAAGAAGCAATGCCTTTTATGATCTACTTAAAAGTTACACGTACTCAATTCTGCCATATTCTACAGATCACACAGAACAGTTTGTTTTGTTTTTATTTATTTATTTATTTATTTATTTATTTATTTGAGACAGAGAGAATGAGAGAGAGAGAGAGAGCACATGAGAGGGGGGAGGGTCAGAGGGAGAAGCAGACTCTCTGCCGAGCAGGGAGCCTGATGTGGGACTCGATCCAGGGACTCCTGGATCATGACCTGAGCCGAAGGCAGTCGCTTAACCAACTGAGCCACCCAGGCGCCCAGAACAGTTTGTTTTACTGTGGGAATAGACTACACATGTGCATTGATACCAGAAGGAAAGATTCATTGGGACCACCTTGAAAGCTGGCTATTGCTAATATGTGCAAGTGCTTTGAAAACTGGAAAATGCTATACAGATGCTGAATGGCATTTTATACATAGAGTGACCCAGCAAACCCAGAATATTACCTAAATAACTGCCTTTTTTTAATAAAGATTTTTATTTATTTATTGAGAGAGAGAATGGTAGAGAGAGAGCATGAGAGGGAAGAAGGTCAGACGGAGAGGCAGACCCCCGCTGAGCAGGGAGCCCGATGCGGGACTTGATCCCGGGACTCCAGGATCATGACCTGAGCCGAAGGCAGTCGCCTAACCAACTGAGCCACCCAGGCACCCAATAACTGCCTTTTTTTACCATACTTAAAATGTCCCCAAATCAGAACTTACTTAGCAGCATAGTATAATGCAGTTATTATCAATTCATATGCCGTGATACACTTTGGAACCTCTAGCCTCACAAGTGTACCATCACATTTAGCTCACTAAGCTTACTTCTACTACAAGGGAGGTTAGATTACTGTTAAAGTGATAATTTTCAGAAGGAGCTTCGACCTAAGTTCTATGATACCATGTATCATTAGGTATATCTTGACATAAGAGAAAAATAGTAAAGATGGTGTTCTGTGTAATGTATGAGAATTTTGTCTATGAACATATCAGAACTCAATAAAAACCCAAGTGACAGAGCTGGAAGGTGACCAGCAATAGTCATGTGATAGCTAACAAACAGCACTGTCAGACACTTTTCTAAGGGTTTTGGAAATGTAAAACATTTAAACCTTGCAGCAACCCAATGAGTAGTCCTATTATAAATGAGGCAACTAGGAATGAAAAGGTTAAATATTTTGCCCAAGTAATAAATCTAGTGACTGAACACTTTTGAGGTCAGTATTCAAACGCAAGTAGTCTAGATCCAGAGCAAGAACTGAACCCTTACTCTCTTGTTAACGTGACTAAATAATGAACCTTATTATTCTGCCTTCTTAAATACCTCTGAAAATGAATATTCTCAACTCTTAGAAACATCAAATGCTTCAGTTCAAAACCTTGGAATTAATCAGTTTTTTTTTTCCCGCCACAACCCATATCCAGTCTGTCAGCAAATCCTATTGGCTAGAAGTCAAATTGATAAAATCTTACATAGCCATCCGGATAACTGCAATAATTCTTTCACTGGCCTTGCTTTTTTTTCTCTCTAAGTCTATATTGTGGCCTCTCAAGACAGCCATTAGTGAACTTTCTAAAACATTAAGCCAGATCATACCACTTTGCAGAAAACTGCAGTGGCTTTTTTTTTTTTTTTTTGGTGGGTTTTTTTTGACGTCTTTTTTTTTTTTTTAAAGATTTTATTTATTTATTTGACAGAGCGAGAGCAGGAACACAAGCAGGGGGAGTGGGAGAGGGAGAAGCAGGCTTCCCGCTGAGCAGGAAGCTCGAAGTGGGTCTCGATCCCAGGATTCTGGGATCATGACCTGAGCCGAAGGCAGATGCTTAATGACTGAGCCACCCAGGCGCCCCTCAGTGATGTCTTTTAACACCCTGTTTTATTTTTTATTTTATTTTTTTTAAAACAAAATTCTCCTGAAAATTTTATTAACATTTAATAACAATAAATCAGTCAGCATTTTCCATAGTCTTCACAAAGTTTTTGTCTTAAAGATGAGATTTACTTCAAATGTGTTCATGTAAACCAATCAGTCATGAATAAACTTTTATAGTGAGCTTCTCAAACATACTGTTTTAATACCAGTATGTATTATATTTTCATCCAAAAATAAAATAAATGCAATCCCTTTACTCTTCCTGGTATCTTTATCTTTCATTATAGTAACCTTTACAACTTTGCCATACTTGGAAAATATCCGGTATAAGTCATTGTATAAGTCAGGGAAAAGGGCAAGTTGGATACATACACTGTGCTTTTACTTGGGGCCAATCCACCACTCATCTCTTTAGGTGGGGCGGACCTGGGAGACTAGAGCGCTAGCCCTCGACTCAGCTGGGCCTCAACCTGGACTCTTCCTCGTCACCCGCTGGGGCCTTGGCATCACGGGTCCTGGGAGTGGTCAGGCGCCGGAGACTAGTAGGCAGCGACAGCAACGCCTCTTCCTGGCTGTAGCTAGACCCAGGCTCCAACACCCTGTTTTAAACTGCAAGCCCTCCCCTTTCCCTGCTTTATCTCTGTAGAACTTCACAGTATGTATCATAACATATTTTATCTCCTTCCATTGGAAAGCATGGATCTTTGTCTTTTTCCCTGCTGATTTCTCAGTCTGCAACAGAGCCTGGCACATAGTAAGCGCTCTATATACAGTCGATGAATAAGTGAATTAATGTGTTTAACGTGTTGATTTGCATGAAAACTTATGAGAACCAAGGTTGAGTACTCACAATTAACACTTAATTGAGCTCTCACTATGTCTAAACTTTCTGGGTGTTTCATTTAGTCTTCACAACCAGTTATGATGTCGCCTATTATTACCATTTTACAGAATAGAAAATTGATGACCAGAAGTCTGTTCCACAGCACGAAATTCTTCAGTTGACTTTGATTTCGTTTCCCCAGGAGTACTTCACAAAGGACTGAATTAAGAGAGCCTCTAGACCAGCCCTTAAGAACTGGGCTCTCTTCTAAGTAACCAGAGATTGCGACGCTAAGCGTCCATAGCAACCGTGGCGACGAACGCCCTTGAGCAAGAACCAGAAAGCGAGATCAGGGATAAGGTCAAGCCTTCCACACTCATACACACCCATTAAATCCCGAACTCAGAACATCATATCAGAACGCTGACCTGTCCCCGGTACTGAAGGGAATATCGAAGTTAAAACGGTAACAGGGTGACAGAGTCACCTGCGAAAACACTCCGCTTCCGGCCCCAACAAGCCACGGTGTGACAGGGCGGGGACCGCGCAGAAAAGCCAAAGAACCCTGCCTC